AAATATTGAGGGTAGTTACTCATGCTGGTACTGTTTCTAATCAATTTATTTAATATATTCCAAGTACCCCTCATGTTATTTTTATTATCCTCTAATACTTTAGAGTAATATTGTTTCTTACATCTCCTCAATAACGCAATTAGTTTGTTCTTGTATAACTAATATTTTTCTTCCGCCTTCTTTGATCTGTCCTTTATGAATTCCTTATATAACACATTCTTCTTTTTACATGCATTCTGTAATCCCTTACTCATCCACGGTTTCCCACTGTAATTCCTTTTGTTTTTATACTGCTTACGAGGACAGTTCCTGTCATATACTTTCTTAAATATATTTAAAAATTGCTCATATGCTTTGTCTAAGTCTTCCTCTTTGTAAACTGCTTCCCAGTCTTGCCCCATAAAGTCCTCTTTTAGCCTCCTTACAGCATGTTCATTCGTCACCCTCCTATAAAAAAAATTTGTCTTTGGCCTTTCTTTTCTATACTGGCCCTCATAAACCAAAAATACAGGTAAATGATCACTAATATCATTTATAAGTAATCCACTAGACATTTTGCTGTCAGTATCATTAGTAAATATATTATCTATTAGTGTTGCATGCTGGGTTGTTAATCTATTATTGACGAGTAATTTTCTTCCAGTTTTCTGTGCTGGCTCCAGGTGCTCTGTAGATACAGCTAATTACAACTTTCTTCTTTTTTTTCCAAAAGTGAGCCAAATGTTACAATTAGACATGTGCACAAAGCAACAATATTTAAGTACACATGCTTCACTTCTTCCACCACTTATTTAAGACATGAAAATACCAAAGATTTTATTTTATTTTCTGCTGCACAAATGTTTCGCCCCACGACTCCTTGTGTCTTTGCATGACCTTGGACACATCACATAACGGTGAGATATCTTTTCCTCCCAGAGACACAAAACTCAATATCAACTCAAAGTAATGTGAGACTTTATTGATCTATTTTGTGAAATATGTTTTACCTCTTATTATGTGGACAATAGATTACAGTGGGAAGATGGTGAAGATTCAAAAATTTGCTTTCAAACATATCTGAAAAATGCTCTTGATGATTTCATAAAGCACAGTTGAGCGAATTCCTTCTGTCTTAAATACAAACCGTAGACCACTGACAGTGTCCTACGCTGGGCTAAATGTTCGTCCAATACATCTCTTCATTTGCTCCCTTTTACTGTAGCACAGTGGATGTCAGTAGACAGGATGGGCAGTCATGCCAATGTGAGCACTCTATGATGGAAAGCTATTGATTGTGATGCATATATATATCAAAGCCCTTATCAGGCTGAGAGCCTCATAAGGGATGCAGAATCATTTACATACAGTATGTGCTGTTAAACTAGATGTCTAGTGGAAATGCCAATTTCATGCAGCTTGGCCTCTGGATGACAGGTTGTTCAGAAAATCTATCATTGCATCTTGGTTGGACACACTGTCATTTAGAGAGAGAGTGTGTGTGTTTGTGTGTGGCCCAGCTGGCACAGGCTCCAGAGGTGCCATATTGTTTACAAGCCCAGCAGAGTGTCAGACTGCAGAGGCACAAGCCATGACAACAGCTGGTAACAGCCACAATGTAAACAGGCATTGATAGGATATGGAGAGACCCCAAGAGCAAGTAGCACAAGCCTGGTAATTACTAATGAAAAATATAATCTAGAAGATTAAAGAACTATTTTTTCAACTAACTTCCCAATAAATAATTTCACACTCAACAGCAGTGTTGGAGATTGTGTGGGCATATGAACTCTAATCATTTGCACATCTTCTGGGTGCAAAGAGATTAATATTTTTGTTTGTCATGATCTGATTACAAAAGAATTTGTATTATTTAAGGGACACACCCTCTCTGTTCTGTATTATATTTGCTGTAAAAAACGTTATAACTAAAACAAGCTGAAAACCTCTACACTGAAAAAATAAATAAATAAAGAGACGTACGATGTTTTCCTGGCTTTTCTCCAAACATGGGGGGAATTGCATCACATTCACTGCAAACAAGGAAAACTACTGCAAATAAAAAGCGACAAAAAGTAGCATTAACAATTACAGCAAAGTCCCACCAATGAGACACATTGTTGAAATATACTTTGTGCTTAATCCTAAAGTGTGAAAAGGTTATGGAGACTGAAGAAGTGGACAAGTTCAGTGCTTTAACATGCAGCTATGAATATCCTTAATGTCACGAAACAGAAAGCAGTGGCTAATTGTAAGCATTAACCTACAGTTTCTGAGCCTCTGAGCACTGCAGTATTAGCCACAAGGCAGAGAGGCTGACAGGCAACGACTACGTCAGAACAAAACTAAACAAAGCTACATAAAGAAGCTTAAACAAATTCCTGTACTATATTAAACAACACTAAGTCCTTGTCAATGCACGACAGAGCCCTTATAGCACCTTCCAGAAAGGCTAGCTCCGGCTAGCTACTGGCGGCTCCTTAGCATGCTAACTGACACTACCAAGGCAACACAGGCGTCGTTTGCTAAGTGACTGAACATATGAACACACAAGAGGGTATATTTAAGTCCCACTGTCGTCGCTAAATTTCTGCCAGTGAATGCGATTCTCCCCCAACAATCGCAACAACAGTGGTCATTGTCAACCCGTGTGAACTGCCCTGGGTACCAGCAGCCCCTCACTGCGGACAGAGACAGACCACCAGCCCGTCCCACCAGAGCTGTTCCCGCACTCCCTCTGATCATACTCTGCTCAGGAGAGGCAGCAGCGGGCCTGTAATTGTTTACCTTCTTGTCAATGCGGACAGTGAAGACATCCCGGTCCCTCAGCGGCTCCTTGCTAAGTACAAGACCATGGTTGAACTCCTGAACTGGCTGGTTGCGCCGAGCGGTTCGGTTCGAGTTGGACAGGCCGATCAGCTTTCCGCTCCGCGGATGCAGCTCCGCCGCCATCTTCAGTGGACGGCCAGTGTTCACGACAGTCGAGCTTTGCGACAGTAACATTATGACATCCGGCAATCAATACTGCACCCCACCCATTTTTGTAACACATTAAATGTATCGTTTTTAAATACATACATTTATGAATTCTTTTGAATATAATGTGAACAATAAATTTAACTTTGACTTAAAGGCTACTAGGACACATAGAAATTGAAGGCTTGTTATTTTATTTAGGCTTTTATTCTGGCTTCATTCTATGCAGTGTTGGAAGAAGTACTACTCAGACTTTTCATTTAAGCAAAAGTAGCAGTACCATGATGTACAAAAGTGTAAAGTACAAAAGTATTAGCAAAAAATATAGTTAAAATACCAAAGGTAAAAGTACTCATGCAGAAACGGACATTTCACAATAATGTAAGTCAATATCATATTACTGGATTATGAAATCAATCTACTTGATAAATCTCAAGTATACAAACTTTTTTTTTAATTTAAACCCACTAATCTTAATTGACTGTCACTTCTAATTAATGAACTTTGGTTTTATGGATAAGCATTGTTTTTTTCTTTGTATTTATTTATTTTTTGTTTTGTTAACATCTATAGGCCTATTTAATGAAATACTGCAAATTCTACCTTAAATGTTTCTGCTTGAATTTTGGACAGAGATGAAAGGTTTCTGTATTTTTCATCAACCTATCATAACTTTGAATACATCTGATTGAAATACAAAGAATCCCATCATCATATTTAATTAAACCATCATAATTACACACCAATTTTACACAAAACCTATCAGTGCCTTAAAATTAAACCATAGATCACTATATTTTGACTGCAACACTTGACTAAACATTGATTATCATTGATTAGACATTGATCAAACATTAATTATCAATCAAATCTTTGCTTTATGCATGAAACCATCTTTTTTTTTTTACTTTTCTTAATAAACTCAGTGTCTCTTTTCTCTTTCTCTGTCACACACACACACACACACACACACACACACACACCCCTGCACTTCCTCTTTTGTATGTGTGTCTTACTTCCCTTTTTCTCTGAGTCAGAATTTTTTCTGATCTCTTTATGATTTAGACTTCTGAATGTACCTTTTTCAATACAATCATTTCTCATTTTATTTTTACACATTCACTAATGATTATTTCAAACAAAACACACACACAAATCATCTTATGATTATCTTAACCCTTCTACTTTATGCATTCTGCCATAGCATTTTAATATTTTTCTCTCTCTCCCAGCTCCTATTGCCATTTCTTGTAAACATTTTTGCTGTTCTTGTGGGACTTCTAACTGCAAAGAGACAATTTGTTCAACAGCCTCCTGCAGCTCTTCTTGTAAGGTCATTTCTGATGCCAGATCATCATTTTGTTGTGACAATCTACATGTTTTACTAGTTAAATGGCATCATACACAAAGTGGATCTAACACAGACACTAAAAATCCACTAGAGGGGGTAAGGTCCATGTCTTAAATCTTTCCCTTTCTCTGTGTTTGAATCACCTCATGGCACTATTAAGTCTTTACTTTGCCTTGAATACAACAGTAAAATCAACATTCAAGCAGAGTCACATTAAAGAGAAGCATATTTTATTCAGAAACATATTGTTGCTTATAACAAGGTCAGAAAACCACTCACATTTTCAGATTAATCTGTATATTCTGTACAAACTGGGCTAGTGGAATAGCCATCTATTTAAAACCATAACTGGTATCTTAATTACAGAATGAGTATTAGCAGTGTGAAACTCTAGTGGTTGGCTCCGTGTTGTTATGCTCTACAGAGGCAACTGTGCCTCCTTCATTTTGTAGAATATTTTATACTTTACATACAATGCACTTTTATGTCACCAAAGGCAACAGAATAAAATGTATTCTCTGCAAACATATAGTCCACATATAGTGACTGATTTATGCAGGGCAGCTGTGGGGAGAGATTGAGATGTGCCTGACACTTAAATCCAGATCCAGATCTCTCCCTTGGATCTGGACCTTCTCCAGACAGCCTGTCAAGAACTGGGAGCCCACGTTGTCCTCACCTTCACCTGAAACGTGAACGAGACGAACAGTTTCCGTGTTATTTATTTTCTTATTATTTTCATGTCATTAATGTTTTTATTGTGTTGTTTTTTTTAATCAACCTTGTCTGCAAATCTAATTCCTCTTTCTGCACAAAAATATAGAATCCCAAGCCTTGACCATGAAGATATAAAGATTGTAGCTCTTCAGAAATTCCTCAAGACTGTACAAACAACACATCCTTGCTTTTTAGCCTCACCTAGGAGACCTCCGATAGCTAGACGACCATCTCTCCATGTGGTCAAATATCCAGGGTGGCGCACTGGACTGATAGATACTGTAGTGGTCTTTGGTTCATCAAAATCTTGAAGTACTTGCAGTAAATCGGTCTGAAAGGTCATCACCAGCCTCTTGACAACATCTTTCATTTGGATTTTGTATTCACCGAAAGTGAGTGTGACCTCCTGCAAATTCACAATAAAGGCAGAATAAATAATTTGCAATAACTTTGTGGATAAATACAAGGGATCTCCAATGTGTGTGTCAGTATGCATGTGTGATGGGGTGTGTGGACATGAAACAAAAGTTCATGTACCACTCTCACTGTGCTGTAAGGAGCTTTAAAGAGATTCCTTTTGAACCATGTCTGATCTATGCGCATACCTTACTCTTGGCTGCTAAAGTGAACATTAGCTCTTGTCCAGGAGCCTTGATGCTCAAAATGGTTCCATGCATTTGACTGAAATTTCCCCAAATTCCAATCTTAAGCCCATGATCTGCTTCAGGGAGGAAAACTGCAACAAGACAAAAGAGCAATTCACATAATTAATAGAATTTGTGTTGGAGTGACCTGTCAACCATCCAATTAAAGCACCACCATTAACACAGATCAAATTAGAAATAAAATGATATAACATCGCTACTCTAGATGCTATGTCATACAAGAATGAGTTATCAAGGCCAGTTGAGAAGTTTGTTATTAAACAGAGAAGCCTTAGCACTTGTCCATCTGCTGGATAACTGAACAGTGTTCCTACCTGAGATGTTGAAAATGGCCAATCCAGTGCCAGGGAAGTAGATGCCTGGTTGGATGTTTTCATAGCAGGGCCAGAGCTCCTCCACTTCTGTCTCCCAGGGGAAGCTGAGGTTTAACCAGTTGCCGTCCCGTACACAGCCGTCCATGTGCGGCTTGAACTGCAGCAAAGAAGGCAACAGTGCATTTAGAAGAATGAACTGCAGTACAAATTCAAGATTGTTCATGATCACTCTTCAGTACACTTGTGCAAAAGGAAAAAATTGTGCTATCTCTGTTAATTTTGTTAAAGTAAAAAAAAAAAAGAAATAAAAAAATTTATATTTTGGCAGCTGGGGTGCCAGAAAACTACCAAAGAATAAACACAGACTCCTCACGAAAACTAGTAAAATAAATAAATAATGGAAAATAACCATCTAAAAATACAGTAATTTCCCCTCATTTTTAAAGTTTTTTCTTTTTAATTTTAAATGAAATTTGTTTTTCATGTTAAATAAGAAACTAACCTTTAAAGCCCAGGAGTTTTCCATTTTTAAAAATTATAAAACAAATAACTTTAAATATATTACCAACAATACACTGCTAATTTTAGAATATATAGATGCTGAGTTCAACATTAACCTTTATCATGTTTTTTCTTACAATTATAAAAAATATAAACCTAGACTTACTTTAATATATATTACAAATACACAGTAAGTTTCCACCATGAATGTGTTTGTCAAACTGGAAAAACATGAGTAACTGAAGAGTTTTATCTATCACACAATGCATGCTGGGAGTACAGTACAGTAAACAAAAATTTATTTGCAAAATTGTTATAAAATTGTAACTATTTTAACATTTATTTAACATTTGTGTGAAAAAAGGAAAGCTTAAAAAAGAAATTTATGGTAATCCACAGATAGAGGATTTACCTCTGTGCACTACTGTTACACCTTAGTGATACAAAACAAAAAAGCTGTCATTTAAAGGCCATTTTATGGTAATATATTTGTCTTATTACCAAGAATAATTAGTGAAATGTTGATGTACAATCTTATACAGTAGGAGATCAGTGTGATAAATATTCAAGTTTAAAATGTGATTTTTGTGGAACCAGAGAACTCTTTTTAGACTCATAATTTGACTGACATTCAACAATCACACAAGACAAAAGAGGCAAAAACACTGATAGTACGTAATACAGTGCAGCCATTCAAGAGTTCACTCACAGGCTTTAAACTCATCCAGAGCACCTTTAAAATTTCTTGTCTGCTAAGTGAGCGAGCTCCTTCCCCTGTGATATATTCGAAATCCCCATAAAAAACTAGTAAACATACCTTGGGTTGAGATTGTTTTGTCAAACTGTCTCTGAGGTCAAAAATGAACTTTAATGCTGTTGTTTTTAGAAAGATGTCAGATTGTAACAAGTGGTCAAAAGAAAGAGCATACTCTCATGCAAGCACTCTACCACAGCGACCACTTTTACTAGTTCTCGTGAGGAGTCTGTGTTTATTCTTTGGTTGTGGATGAAAGTAAATGAAGAGAATCATTATATAAACCAGACGTATAAATGAAACAAGCTGATCAAAAACTGGATGCAATCATCACTAAATAACTTGCATAGATGCATGCAGATTGCAATCATATCCTATCAAAATGCTTTACCTGAACAATAATCTTTTCCTTGTCGATCAGGATCCCGCCGAGGGCTATTCGGAGTTTACCTGAAGGGACCTCTAACTGTTTGGACTGCATGCCCACCACCAGCCTACTGGAGCCGTCCACCACAAGAATCACAAATTCCCCCTGGTTGCTCAGCTCCAGCTTGGTTGAAACACAAGAGGAACTGAATTGCAACATATAGTGCCCAATTCTGAATATTATACACTATATTCAGTATGCATATGGTGCGCTTATTGAGCATGAGACAAGAATATTTTAATAAGCAATATCACCTAGTATTGAGGAGTAACCCTTCTAAGAAATTGAGATTTCTGCCATAAACAAAAAGCCACTTGTTTCTAGAAAAAAAGCAACTAGCTTCTGTCACTTGACTCATGACAACAAAAACTCACTGTGTGCCACTTTCCATCGTTGAGCTTGGGCCCCCCTGCCACACTGACAGGAACATCTTTTTTGTTGACCTGCATCAGAGGGAAGCCATCTTTCAGGGACAAGACAAACCAGTCCTCTCCGTTTTTGGTGTCCCCATAAAAAATGAGACCTTCTGGGTCGAATGTCCGTATCTGAAAGGAAGAGCTAATGCTGTAGAGATAAAAAAGAATAGTTTTAAAGTCATTGATAGGCTGGTCCACAATAGATAAATAAGATTCTTCTTATTTTGATGACTTTTATCTGTGGTTAAAAGTAGTGATAGGAGCCTGCAGCTAGAGAAAGCCAATATAATGAAGGTTTATGCCTTCTTATTTCAGCAATCTTCCAGTGGTCAGGGATTTCTCACTACACCCAACACATGCGACGGTCTCTTTTGTGCCACAGATTTCACCGAGTGGACGCGAAGCCACTGCTGCTGAAATACCTGGTGATCTCACTGAGGTTGGCTGTTGTGTGCATCAGTGGCCTCCAGGTGTCTCTGTCCTGGCCGAGGTAGACGGTAGCCTCGCCAGACACCCCTTTCTAAAAGACACGGGCACTCATTCAACATGAAATCATAACTTCAATTTGTTATTCTGCATTTTCATTTATTTTTTTATGTGACACCTTGATCGGTTAGTGGCTCCAACCACAATAAACCAATTACTGGGTTGCATTCAATTACTGATCCAGCTTAAAAAATGTAATTACACCATCATAAAGGAAGGGTGGTCACTCATATTCTTTTGAGGTGCAAAATCAATGCATTCGTTGACAGAAGATCTATGTGGCAGTGTATCAATATAATGTACAACAGCAGGCGTGAAGTCCAACAGAAGAAATCGTTCACTGAGGTAAAAGCAGTTGGTGTTGCTGCGGATTTGATGCTGTTTGTCTGAGCAAAGTCCTAAGTTTAAACAAATTTTTAGGACATGCAGGGGGACCCCCCTTCACATACAGTATGAGTTGATTCCGAATTTTAAGCCCTTTCAACAGCCCTTTGTCTATCCTCTAATGTTTGTATAAAAAACAAAGCATAGAATTACCATACAGGGTAGAGCATTAGTCTTTTTAAACAGCCTAAAAGGCTCAGACAGATATTTTCAATTGCTCATGGACTGTGTCACCTAATTTAACAAAAATAAAAAGCCATATAAACATGTCATATGAGCCATTCTTTTACAGAGATTTAGGGACTTGAATAAAGAAACACATTATAATTGTAGCACTGCATATGCACATACCTTACCCCATCTGTTCCCCTGCCCCAAGACTTCCCAGCCCAGCAAAGTAAGGCTCAGAGTAAATAGCAGTCCACCTGCCATTGCTTTGCAAAACCCAACCATCCTTCAGTGCATTCACCCACCCAGGCACTGACCCCTCACGCGGTCTAGAGATTCCAAACTATCCTGAGGTGACGGTGGCGAACAAGGAGCAGAGAGACCCTGCAGCAATGTGTGAGGCAGTGGTGTGTGTGCTGGCACATAGTCCTGGGGTCCAGAGGGTAAATATACCATGATAGGCGCAAGTTATCGATTCCCAAATGGGAGTGCTTTATGTGGGCGGCAGGCAAACGAGGGGGGATCAAGGAAAGAAAGTGTCAGTTTTGATCTGTTATAAGACATAAAAACTATATTTTAACTAAAATGTGTATTTCCATCAGTCAGTCCTGCCTTTACGGTAATTCATGTAGCATGAACACAACGGTAGACCGGGTGAGTGACCTTAGCCGGAACACTGATGTGTGTTTACTTATTACACAGGAACCTTGAATCACCACTGCTGGCTATGACTGTGTGTGTGTGTGCATTGTAGAGAGGAGGAGAGCGAGATGAGAAGGGAACTGCGCTTCGAGTCACACCACTCTTCGCTCTTCTGCTGGCTGTGTTCCTATGATACCGTCTCCTTCCAGGAAGGCTGCGATAACTGGGAAACATTGGGATAAGCACAACACACACAAACACGCAGACACAGAGACAAAAAAATGTTGTATCTGTTACTCAGGTGGTGAGGATTTGAAATTAATCAGAAATGTCAAATTAAAGAAAAACAATTTTCTTGCTCATGTGCGCAAGTTGTCTGTGTATTAACACGTAGACAGGGCTTTTATTTTGGAGCCACTACAGGAGAAACACAGGTGTAAATCATAACATTAACAATGGCTGAATTCAGGTTTGCTGCTTCGGGTTCAGCGTCCTGGTGTTGTGCACGTGGACCCACGTTCATGACGTAGTGGAACACCTCCATGTTTATGTTGTTAGTAACAACTGTGCTCATTCCACGATGTCCGCTGTGAAAAAGATCCACTGAGGTAAAGTAATTCAGTGTTTTGCTGTGCTGAAAAATCAAATGTATTGTTTTGCAGCACTGTGACTTGAACACTAGGAAAGCACCTTTTTTTTTATTTTAAATTTCATGACAGAAATTTTGAAAATTTGGTCCAATATCATTCATATTTAGTGTCACTAGTGGGAAAGTGCCTGTCAGCTCCTGTTGAGAAGCCTCTGGTTTACATGTCACCACAATTTTGTAGTTGTTTTTTTTTTATATGGGGCTAATATTGCTATACATAAAAGTAAACACCTTGAAATTAAAACTGCAGTATGTAACTTAAGGCAGCACTGGCATGAAACTCCACCGCTCTGTTCCGCCCAGCGCTCCCTCTCCCTGCTCCACTGTGCTCTACTACGATCTGCTACACTCCGCCACACTCTTCAGATATTTGTTGCTACAAGACATGAGAACACAACTAAACTGTCTGATCAAGCAGAAACGGTAGAAATCCATTTTGGTTAGAGAGGTCAATCCTGCTCAAAGCCTTTTAGAAGCTAGTATGCAGTCTGGGTCACAGGAGGCTTCGACAGCACCTCTCCACATTAAGAGCTTTCTACAACAAACATATTTGAAAAAACGTTACATTCTGTTGCTTAAATTACCAAAGATATACAAATATTCACCACTGGAAACAAAAAGTTTTAAATTAACTGTGAATGCACAGTGATCAAACAGTTGACTATGTGCATAAAAGAAATAAAACGGGTCTCTGGAATTTGTTTTGCTTTTCCTGACTGCACATTTCACTACAGAATCCAGAGGGAGGATCAAACAACACAAAACTTATCTACCAACTCAAGCACACGGTTCATATTAAAAACTCTGAATCAACATATATAAATTAAGAGGTATTATAAAAAATAAAAATAATAAAAAAACAACAACATGAGACCAGACTAGAGCTGATTTCATTGGGTCATCAGGTTAATACTTTATTTTGTTTGATTGCAGCAAAGAGAAAGAGAGGGAGATGGAAACAAGGGGAGAGAGAGAACAAGGAGGATGTCAAAGGAGACTACAGACTTTGGGAGAGCTGTGGCTACAAGCCTTTGTATCAAATCTAAAGACAAAGTCATCAGGCAACATTAAAACATTGTTTTAAAAATAACATTAACATATTCTGTGGGCTCTATATGGCACAGTATTACCCTAGACATGTACACGATACCAAAACAGTTTAGCTACACCCCTACGTCTATGAACAGCTTCATAGCAAACAAAGCCATGAAATCTATCTCCAAATCATTTCTCAAGAAAACGCTCTATTCAAATTTCTTATGCCATAACAAGGCACCTTAAACAGTTGAAATCTGGCAGATCCACATCTTACTATAGATTTAAATATCAAAGCAGAGGCACATTCATTGGAACTAAAACATACATTAAATAGTTGTAAATTACCACCAGATTCCAGTCCAGTCACTACAATACGTCGATTTGCATGCTTTTGGTCTGTATGATAACTGTGATTGCAAACTATGGCATAAGAAATGGTCTGAAAACACAAACATGTCCATCTACAGGAATGGCTTGAGATAGAGTATTGGAGACAGCAAGGCTTGTTTTACACTGAAACTAACCCACAGAAAAGTGTCAAAGACCAAAAAAAATAACAGGTGGCCCATATACTGCCAAGGGAAACGCTGCTCAGGCAGATTCATTTTGGTTTTCTTATTCACGCAGTCACTTGCTCTAAAACACGTTCTCACAGACGGAAAAGGCTTGTAACCACACCCGAGGGGATGCCTGTGCGTCCCTGCAGTTGGTCACACTCCTGCCTGAACCAAACGGTGCCCCAGTACCATCACACATACTGAAACATATGTACTTCATTCAGAAGAGGTGCACTGTGCGAGTGTATGCTTGAGGGAAGAGTTACTAATGTGGTATCTAGTGCTGTGGGTTGTTTTTGTCTCAAAGCTGTGGTCTGTAATGAATAAAATAATATGAAACACAAAAGAGGGAAACAAAAGCTGTGTGCACAATGCCAGTTCTGCTGAGAATATAAACAGTTAGGAAGCAAGTGTTGCTCATGCTTTGTGGATACAGAACCCAAGTTTACTGACATGTTCCTAGGACTATTGTATATATGCATACCAGACGTTATACGGTTCTTTAACAGGTTATTTGTGTCAAAACAGAAACAAAAAGGAAATGAAACTGACTCTACCATTAATGCAGCTGTACTTCATTAACCTCATGACTAAATTTACATTCATATTTTTAAGCTTACTCCCCCTTTTCACTGAAGCCACTTCCATCTGGTAAGAGGGCTAAACAACATAAACAACACAGTTCAACAAAACAAACTTATAGAGATAACATTACACGTTAAAAAAAAGGCCCCATCATCTGGGGAGATTCAGCCACTGCTTTGGCTCCTAAGCTCAGCCTCTTCCTACCTTAGTAAAAGACAAAGGGCAAGGGGAACGAGTTCAAACTATTTCCCAATCTCCCTCCAGCTGGAGAGCAGCATAACGCTTTCTGTCCCCTAAATCATTCTGACTCAGAGTCCAACAGTTTTGTGCCCAAATTATTTCTTTTCTTATCCAGAAATAACTCAATACCCTGAATCATTTTTTTTTCCTTTACTATCACTTTCTTCTTCCTGGTTTAGGAAGTGGAGCCTTTTCCTCTTAGAATCAAAGAGGAAAACGCTACTAAAGATGAAGGCAGACTAGTTTTTATTCTTTTCCTTTTTTATGTGAAGGAAATGAGATGAAGAACGGAAGTGCAACGGTCTACCAGCCTTTAATTCTTACCCAGTGGCCAGCTACATATCCAAAGCAGCTACAAGTGTCCCCTGTAAGTGACCACTACTTTTCTATTTTGTGCACATAAGGTATAACCTATAGTGAAAGCTTTACAGATCCTACAGTGTCCTCTGGCCACAAAGTCGCCAGGTTAGTTGAAACATTAGAAGCTCGGGTGATCTGTCCTTGCAACAGACTTGCGTTCAGCCATAGCACTGACTTCTTAATGATTTGGATATGAGGAATCACTTCTAAATGCACTTCTACACACTGACCTACAGTAGCTATTCCAACTACAGCAGGAACGCTGCGGAATAATCTAGCCATTCACACACACAAACACACTTTCACATATATGCAGTAATGCCTGCTTAAACCCACCTCTGCATGCACAAATCCATACATACATGTGCATGTACATACTCATATACACCTTTCTTGGACAGTTTAAACAACAAGGATACACCTGCATCCTCATTTCCACAAACAAACACACACAAGGTCTGGGTTGCTTAATGCTCCACCTCCAACTGTGTCGAGTAAAGTCTCTTCTGTCCCATCCCTTATCCCACACAAGCCTTCCCTGAAGAGCGTTTATCCTCGTTATGCGGTGACTATAAAGGGAAGCAGACTGAACTAATTTTTCACACAACACACACCCTGTTAGCAGTTCTTATTCTTATATTATAGATAATATGATGAGTCAGAGAGGAAGATTAATCAAGCTCTAGAACTACGACACACTACAGCAAGACAGGAGGAACATGGAGAAAGGTGAGCAGGAGCAAAGAAAGGGGAGCAATGATACGTCACTATAATATCAGCACTCTCCTCCCTGTTTCTTTGCTCTTTCTCCATCTTTAACACCTACTCCTGATTTAATGCCTGGCTCTTATCTCTACTGAATAAAAGAGTGGCAAGGGCACTGTGCAAGTGACCCAGTGTGCACGCACCCCTCCTGCTCTCATCCTAAACAGGCCAGGCCATCCCCTTTGAAATATATTCCTTATAGTGCTTCTTTTGTCCTAGGGTTTGCTGCTGCTGCTGTCTCGTTGCTTCTTGCTGCTGCCACTGCTGCTGCTGTAGAGACTGGGATTGGCCACAAGGGGGTGAGGGGCTGCACCCATATAGGGCGCAGCAGTGGCTGCGTAGTTGAAGATGGTGGGGAGAAAAGGCAGTGGCTCTACCTTTTCCCCCCCAGGTGCCATCATATTCAGAGTCACAGGAAGAGCTGCCAGGTTATAAGGGTAAGCTAGCAGCTGGGGCCCATAGAGCAGCTGGTAAGGGTCTGGATAAAATGGCAGCTTGGCCAGGTCCCCGCCACTAGGGACCCTCACTTTTCCCAGTGGGGCACAGGGAAGAGCTCCAGCAGGC